AGTAGTAATCTAAAAACCGACCTAATTCGAGATAGTTTGAACATATTTAAGCCAATAAACAAAACTCAACTTAATTTGCAAGTTTTGACAAGGAATTAACTCTTAAATGTTTAAATTTTAGATTAAATATATTTTTAATCTCTCAAATTTAGAATAAATTTATTTTTATCCTTTAAATTTAAAATTATTATTTTTAACTCCTATAATTTTTAAAAATTTTGCTTTAATTTCTTAAGTCATTAATAAAATATCTGAAAGTGACAATTATGTAGTATCAATTAGGTTTTATGATATTTTCACTAATAAGAATATCAGTAAATAAATTTTATGCGATAATATTTAATAAATTTTCTAATAATATTTAAATATAAGAATTAAAACAAGATTTTTTCAAATTATAAAAACTAAAAGATCATTTTTAAATTTAAAAGTTAAAAATAAATTTACTTTAAATTAAAAAAAAGTAAAAACATTTAATTCTTTAATATTTTTTATGAACTCTAGGCACTAATGGATTTCAAAGTTTAACATTCATTATTGTGTTTTGCCTTTTCTCAATATGGGAGAATTTATATATCAGAGGAGACGTCATTAATTCACTAAAACATAATAGAGTTTACCGACAATGTCATTGAGAAATTTAATTGGCAACAATCTAAATCTAAGCCTAATATGACCAGTTAGAAGAGACACAATATGTCGTGAACTAGTACTCAGTAATTTGTGGGTTTGTACCTAAAACCTTACATAAAATTCAATAAAGGTCTACTTTTGAAAGGAAAAATGATACTCCTTCCCATTTTTGAACATATGTAAAATAAAATAAATTAAATTTACACCGATTAAGAAATTTAATTGATATAATTTTTTTTAAAATTATTTTAAACTATCTTTAATTGGAAGTTGATATTAAAAATAAAAAAGAATAAAAATAAGAATTTTGTGAATAATATCGTTAAATAGAATAAATTTTATTTATTTTTACAAGATGACTATCAAATATGAGTTTTTTTTTCTTGTATTTGAGACTAGAATTGTATGATAATTTGTACATAATCATTTTGTGTATCTTAGGAATATAACATGGCATGACATGTACGGGTTTCACAATCTTAATTGTCATTCTCATTTTTATTTATATATCTTATATTCATCCTCATGCTTAATAGGAATGAAATTTGCATCTCTATCATTGTTCATATTGGGTATCGGGTATCTTTGTCCACATCAAATATTGGATATATCCATACTCATCTTGTACTTACCTAAAAGTATTTGAACATATTTTTTAAAAAAATATAAAAAAGAATTTTAATATAGAATAGTAATTACAAAATTGCATCAATTGAATTTTATTTGATATAAATTTAAAATAAAGTAAGAATTATATAAATGTCAAGTAAATTTTTAAAAAATAAATTAAGTTTCTAGAAATTTAAAACAGGTATATGTACAAGTACGAGTACGGGTCCCATAAGTATATATTCATGCCTGTTTCGTATCCCAATTTAATAAATTGTGTATTATCCATACTTGTATTCAGTCAAATTGGATTTCTCCATCAAAGACAAGACATATGTGAATATTACTTACGGATACAAATTTATTTATCACCTCTTATATCTATTTCTCTTTATATATATATATATATATATATTATTTCTTATATTTATTAATGATGAAGAGATATAAAAAAATATGCCACATTTATTATTCTTTTAAGAGACATTTGTAAATAAGTACTTTCAGATTCTTTATTCATAGTCATTTAAGTTTTTACCCAAATCAAGAAATCCAATAAGTGTTTTTTTTTTTTCATAACATAATTTTGGTTAAATTGCACATTTGGTGTCACTTTTTTTGTCAATCCATAATTTTGATTCCATATTTTAAAACAGAGACATTTAAGGGGAGTGTATTGGATTAGGATTTTAAAAGACTTTTTTAGTTAAAAAAAATCCTACGAATTTTAAAAGATTTTGCGAGATTTCCATGACTTTTAAGATTTTATAGAATTCTACAAGACTTAAAATTAGGATTTTAATGGATTTTGCAAGACTTTTAAATCAGGATTTTAATGGATTTTGTGGGATTTTGTAGATTTTTTTAGAATTTTCGTGAATTTTTGACATTGGATAAGATTTCAAAAAAAATTTCATACAGTCAAATTTAAAAAGAGTCAAAGACAAAAATAATAAAAAATAATGATGTCTAGATAAATAATAATAATAATAATTCTCCATAATATCTTATCCTCTTAAATAAAATTCACCCACATATTCATAGCTATACTAGTCCTCTAAGCATTAACGTCTTTTAGTTCTTGCTCCTGAGTTTGAATAATATGCTCAAAAGTATGATCTTCATTAACTGGTAACGTTGAAGATGAAGGTTCATCTACCACTTCAATTGGAAATTCATCAGAATGACATTCTTTGTGTAAAAAGTTATGTAGTGCGCACATACTAACACAAGTTTTACTTGTGTCTTAAATAAAAATGGAGGTGCTGACTTCAAAATTGTGAACCTTGATTTAAAAATACAAAATATTCTCTCGATCACATTCCTTAAAGACACATGACGAAGATTGAACAATTCTTTCTCATTTTCAGGGTCATTACCCTGACTTGCAAAATCTTGTAGATGATATCTTACACATCGAAATGGAGCTAAAAATTGGCATCGATTAGGAAATTCACAATCCACCAAAAAATATTTACCTAATTACATATGTAATATATATAATATTAGTATAATAATAATTATTATTATTATAATAATTATTATTGTTTAAAGAATAAGCATTTAGATATAGAATATATATATATATATATATTATTTTAGTTATATATTATATGATAATTTTTAACGATATTTATAAATGTAAATTATTCTAACAAATATTTTAACAATATTTCATTTTTAAAAAAATAAGCTAATGAAGGCATAAATCCTAAACCCTAAAAAATTAGATACTACAATGTTTTATGTTAATTTTCTTTTTTTAAAATATAAAAAGTCCTAATTTTACAATATAAAAAGAAAAAGAAAAATTCATAGTAAAAAAAAATAAAATAATTGTTGAGTCATAAAAGGAGAAGGGATAAGAGTAACAAACTTAAAGGAAGCAGAGAGATCGCATTTTTTATGCTGAGAGGGTTCTTCCCCCAACTAAGATGCATTTTCATCTCATTCTACTCACGAAAACCCTAACAAATTCATCTTATATATATATATATACATATATATATTTTGTAGAGATTATGATATCAATTTCATCTTTCACCTTTTTCTTTTCTTGACGTGTGTTACAAAAAAATTACCGCTTAAAAATTAAAATTTTAGGCATCTTTTTGTGTTATATAAAAGAACAAATTCAACTACATAGAATAAAATAAAGCAAGTCAATTAAAGAGAACGAACAGAAAAATAGAGCAAGTCAATGACACTATCATTTACATATCGGAGTTTCACAAAATAAGAGAATGAGATGAGAATAGTACTACAATATTATATATGAGCAATGAACAATAGTGCAATATTATTAGTAGAGAAAAAATGGAGAAGACAGGAGCATAGAAAAAAAAAGATGAAAAACTCACTTGAAAATTCTTGAAAAGTCACTTCAAACAATCCTTCAAAATCTGATGGGTTTGGATGTGATTGTTTTATGAATTTGGTATTTATAAATAACACTAGAAAGTCCTTCATAATTCCTCTCACATAACAATCCTTTAAAATCCTTATATTTTTGAATACCAATGGATTATTTTTAAGTTGTAAAAAATCTCAAATGAATACCAATAAATTTTAATGGACTCTTTAAAAAAATCTTGAAAATCCAGATTGAATACCATTGGATTGTTTTTAAGTGACATAAAATCCTGATTGAATATCAATGGACTTTTTTACTCAAAAAAAGTCTTTTAAAATCCTACGAAATCCTAAACCAATACATCTCCCTTAGTTTTTTAATTTTAAAAATATAAAATTTTAGTATTCTCGTCAAACTGACATTTATTAATTCCTATGTTTTAATGTTTACTCATATTTAAGTAATGTGATATTTAGTGACATAATATTTAGAGATATTTTTTTTAAATTATGTAAAATATTCACTAATAAAATAAATATAAATCACTTATTAAAATAAATACAGATGAAAATACTTTGTATATTATTTTTTAAAATTTTTTATTCATATATATTACATCACAAAATATATATCACGTTACTTAAGTGGTGATAGATTACTAAATAATGTTAAAATTTAATGATTAACAAATATCAAATTTATAATTGACTCAAAATTCTATATTTTATTTCTAAAATAAGGGTCTAAATGTTGTTATTTTAAATAAGAGGATTAAAATTACAAATCATCAAAAGTAGAGGATCAAAAGTATAATTTAATCAATAATTTTGATATTTTTTATGTTCAAAATTTGATTTGATTTTATTCTCTCTTTCATTTTTATTCAACAATAAATACCCCCTCTTGTTCTTTTTATAAGAAATAAGTTAAAATATATTATAATTTGTTTCTTAAATTAAAGACCACCTAGTACATATTAGTTATCAATCGATGTACAAATTAATTACAAGTTAGGTAAGAAATAATTCTATAATCGATAAAAATAATAATTAATGTTATCTTAAATATCGAAAACGAACAATAAATTAAAGCAAAACTTTAAAATAAAAATCCCACAATTAAAAAGAAAAAGAACGAGTACTTGACAATGATTTAAAACTAAATTTTCTTAACATATTCAATGTTTTTTTTTTATTTCTTAATTTTGACTATTGTTCTTAAACAAAAACTGGTGTTTTGGCAAAAAAATTTTAAAAGCTGGCAAGTTGATTATCCATAATTAATACCAGCAGTTACTCCAAGAGTAGTTGATTAATACAACAGTAATTAAACAATCTGAAAGAACCCAATGCGGAATATATAAAAAAAAAAGAGAAAAAGATTAAAGAGGAGATGGTTGAAGAGAGATAGAAATAAAGATCGTAGAAAGACGTGAAGGTACAGGTGAGGAGATTGATGATTTTAACTTTGTTTGTTGGCTTTGAATTCATATAATTTCCGTTCCCTTTGAAAAAAGCAAAAGGGGTGCCACAAAGAGACAAAGAGATTGTGGTGGTTTTTTCAGCCCAGAGCCCGAGAGCGTGTGTGTGTGTGTGCAGAGATATAGCAGAAGAAGAGCAACCCCAAACACCACGCATTAGTGACAACCCACACGAGCGGTTCTCGAACTGCATGCACTGCACTGCACTGCACACACACATCATGGACTTTTCCTAGAGAGAGAAACCCCAAAAAACTCTTTCTTTATTGCGCTATCAGTCTCAAAATAAGGACCCCCTGATCTCATTTCTTTCTTCACACACCATGCTGAGAGTGAGAGAGAATCCTGTGGCCTCAACTTTTTCCCTTCTCTCTCTTTTGTGTTTCAAACTTCTTTAAATCCTTTCTCTTTCTCCTCCTCTCACTTATCAGATCATGCACTAGTTACTCTTTTTTTTTTTTGTGTTTTTTTTCCTATGCTTCTGGCATTGAGTTAGTTCCTAGGGGGGGAAAGGAACCTGTTTTGTGAACCCTTTTGGCTGTTTTTGCTTTTGCTTTTTTGTTTTTTTTTTTGTCTTCATGGCTTCGCATCACTTCAGCAATGTTGGTGAAGTTTTCAGTGGGAACATGGGTTTCTTCCCTTCCTCTCTTTTTGTGGGTTCCTCCCAAGGTCATCCTTTGTCTATGGGGCCAAAGGCTGAGATGGGTCTTCAGATTTTGAGCCCCTCAGTGTTTCAACATCCCCAGGAGAGCATGGGGACAAGGAGAGTGATCAGTGATGAGGGTGTTGAGAACAAGAACTTGTGTTTGAAGCTTGGAGAGGAAGTGGAAGAAGTTAAGGGCTCTGCCTCAGGGAAAAATGGCTACACCAAGCTTTGTGCTAGAGGACACTGGAGGCCTGCTGAGGATGAAAAACTTAAGGACCTTGTTGCTCAATATGGCCCTCAAAATTGGAACTTGATTGCTGAGCATCTAGAAGGAAGATCAGGTAATCTAATTGGCAAACAGAAAAAAAAAAAAGATTCATTTTTTGCACTTAATTTGCTTCAAAGTTTGCTTTTTTATATAATAGTATTTCCAAAATCGAACGTCTAGGAGAAGAAAAGAAATATATGAGGATGATTTTCATTGAGGTGTCATTGTATGGAATCTAAGGCTGCATGTTATTTATTTATTCTTTTTTAAAAAATATTATGATTGCAGGGAAAAGTTGCAGATTGAGGTGGTTTAATCAGCTAGATCCTAGGATCAACAGAAGGTCTTTTTCTGAGGAGGAAGAGGAGAGGCTTTTGGCTGCTCATAAAATGTATGGCAACAAATGGGCCATGATTGCTAGACTCTTTCCTGGAAGGACAGATAATGCTGTGAAGAATCATTGGCATGTGATCATGGCCAGGAGGCAGAGGGAGCAGTCTAGTAATGTGTACAGAAGGAGAAAACCCACTATTAGTGAAGCCCTTCCAAAGGGTAATTTGAATTTGACTCTCTCTAACAATGCAGCCAGTGAGTCAACCATCTCAAGTACCATTGATGAATCTGCCTCAACTTGCACTAACCCCTCCCTCACTCCCTCTTCAGCCAAACTAACTCCTTTTGGCCTCTTTGATCAACTGGGACCAGCTCAGAATCACCAACCCTTTGGATCATTAATGGGTACATGCTTGCTTGGTCCTCCCCCATTAAGTGTCACATTTATTATTTGAATTTATGTCCTATGTTACAATTTATACATCATGAATAACTTTTAAAGTTGTTATTGCGAACAGATAAAACTTAAGTACAGGATTATAGGTGTTGTTGGTGTTATTCTTCTTCAATTAGTACGTATTTACGCATATTATTAATGAAAAACTCCAATTCTGATCCAAGAATAACACAAGCGGCAACTATGCTCCTAAACTTAAGTTTTTGCCCTTGTAAAAATCAACAAAATATTGATTATGATACATAACAGTTTCTGATTGTTTGCATTGATATATATGTTACTTAATGTGTGTTGTGTGGGATTGCAGGACAATCTAGAGAAGGTGGGGATGTGAGTTTTAACAAATTTTTTGGTGCTTGGAAAGGTGAAGCTGTGGGAAAGGTGATGGGTGTGGACCAGTCCAATTTTTCAGATGCAAACTCAGAAGTATCAGTATCTGAGTCAGTTGCGACCTATAGGTCCAATCTTTCAATTTCTGAGGAGAGTGAAACTGTGGGTGATAAGATTAACATGCCATTCATTGATTTTCTTGGAGTAGGGGCTACTTAGCTGAATTGCTGATAAAATCTTCACTGAATGAAACGAAAAGGCTGAACTGAGGTGAGGGGTTAGGAAAGGGAGAGTGTTGGTGGATGGAAAAAAAGGGTTTGCTGTATGTAGTGCATTCCCTTGTGTACAGTTGGTTCCATAAAAGGCAAAAAGTAAAAGGGAGAATAAATAGAGGGAAGAAGAAAAAAAAAATGAAAAAAAAGAGAGACATAAGTAGGTAGAGAGGGTCTCTTATGAGAGTAGTTATGAGATTCAAAAAAAGTATAATAATATTCAAACCCTTGGTTTTGGACTGTTCCTGCAACAGCAGAAGCAGGGCCTTGTTATGTTATCATCCTGTGCTACTTTTGGCACTTTGTTAATCAGAAGCCAAAGTTTCATGACTTGGAATCCTCTTTCCATCAATTAACCCACCTCTTTTGAATTTGCTGCACCCTGCCTTTGGGTTTTGTGCTTTCTTGTTTGGCATTGTGTTTGTTTGACCACATTTCACATGCACCTTCAACTCTTCTAAGCAATACAACTGTTTATTTATACACACATGTTGGATTGTGAAAACTCTATTGTAAGCTAGTAAATACCGAAAATGGGAAATGGCAAAAATTAAATGTGTGTCATATCTGTGTTTATATAAGTTAAACGAACTATATTTATATAAACTAGTGGTTTGGCCCAAAAGGTGAAAGTGGTACCAACTGGTTTTTGAAGAGAAATAAAGGAGAGATTATGTCAAGTACCAAGAATCTGGTGAGGGAGTGGAAACAGTCCTCTCGTCGTATCGTTTTCTACGACAACGTGATATTGGAGTTCTGCCTTTTGGTGGGTGAGAAAATTTAAGAGACAATGTTAGCAACACTAGTTTATTTTCCATGCATCATTAGTACTGCAAGTACAGAGCTTCTGATATTATGTACCAGTTAAAATTTATGGTAGAAATTAATCATAAAATAATTATTTAAAAATTCAACAATAAAAGTTTAAATTAACCATTGACTTCTTGTTTACTCATTTTCAAGGTAAAAAATTGTTTATCTATTTTATGTTAAGGGACATTATTTTTGGGTGAAGCGTCATTTTGGATAATAAAATTAAATTTGTCTTGAGTCTTGTTTGGTTTTAGTTGTGGCAGAGTGGACCCGTGATATAAGCATTCCCTACATATCATGAAAAACGTGATACAAGAGTTCATCATGATTGTTGAGTCAATTTATATGTCCATCTTACATGTTCCTGAACACTCATTTTGAAATATGAATGCAGGAAGTAATTCTCTGTGATGTGATATGGATATGTTTTGTGATTTATCAAGAATTCAAAATCATTTGTATAGATATTTGGGCCACTATTGTGACTCCAAAGAGTCCATTTGTTGGGCCATTTTTGGAGTGGAGCAAAAGGTTGTTGGGCTTGTTTCTTTTTGTTAAGTGCAAAACTTCGTGTTGCCATGTGTTTCCAATGGAACTAATTTACTTAAATAATCCTTCGGCTTAAGTATTTTTCTTAATTACAATGATGATAATAAAGAGTTAAAACTTAATAAATGTGCATTTTAACTTTATAGTACCAAATCGATTCTAGTGGCTCCATCGGCTTAAGTTTTGACAAATGAAAATAACTCAATTATTTGATACATTCTTTGAGTCATCATCCCTAAACAATAAACATTATAATATAATCTATTTTTGTTTCTAACACAAATTTATCATTAATTGATTCTTACTTTTATATATTTTTAGAAAATCTTAAATATTACTCTTT